TTTTACTATCACTTATTTTGATATTTTAATTGCTTATTTTAATTTTTTTTTCTAACAGTTAATTTAGTTATTTATTTTTAATCAAGTTTTAAAACTTATTTTAATTATTTACAAATGTTTAATTATGTATTTAAATTCTTTATATATATCTTATTTAATATTTCATTTTTTAAAATTAATTTAGTAACACTTGTTTTTAAATGCTTATTTTAATATTTTAATTATTTTTCTAACACTTAATTTAGTTTTTTAATTTTAATGAATGTTTAAATACTAATTTTAATTCTTTACGTATAATGCTTATTTCATATTTACAAATTTATTTTAATTGCTTTTCAAAAAATTAATTTTTTTGGTAATTTACTTTTCAAATTTAATTGCGTATTCCTTTTTTTTTTTTTTACATATATATATATGTGTGTGTGTGTGTGTGTGTGGTAATAATAGTAGTAGTAGTAATAGTAGTATTAATTGTAAGTGTGAAAAAGAAAGAGAATGTCAATTAATAGGAGAAAATGTTTTAAAATATTGGGAAAAAGATAAAATATTATGTGAATTAAAAATCAAAAACCCAGAATATATAATTAAAACTAAGAATATTGAAGCTACAAATTTAGATTTAGAAAATTTTAAAACACATATAAAAGAACTATTGGAATTAGGAGTAATTAGAAAATCAGATAGTTCTCACAGATCAGCAGCTTTTATAGTAAGAAAACATTCAGAAATTATTAGAGGAAAAAGTAGAATGGTTATTAATTATAAAAGACTTAATGATAATACTATAGATGATACTTATAACATACCAGACAAGACAATTTTAATAAATAAAATACAAGACTGTAAAATCTTTAGTAAATTCGATCTAAAGTCAGGATTTTGGCAAGTAAAAATGCATCCAGAAAGTATTAAGTGGACAGCTTTTACATGCCAGAAGGACATTTTGAATGCCTTGTAATGCCATTTGGAATTAAGAATGCACCAAGTATTTTCCAAAAAAAGATGGAAAGTATTTTTAATAAACATAGTAAATTTGTAATAGTATACATAGATGATATTTTAGTATTTAGTAAAAATAAACAAGAACATAGAAGACATTCAGAATTCATTAAACATGGTTTAATAATCAGTAAGAAGAAAATGATTTTATTTAAAGAATTTATAGATTTTTTAGGAGTTAATATAGGAGAAGGTAAAATTAAGTTACAACCTCATATTGCCAAGAAAGCTTTAGAATTTTCAGATAAATTAGAAGATTTAAAACAAATCCAAAAATTTTTAGGATTAGTAAATTATGCTAGACCATTTATAAAAGACTTGGAAAAAATAGCAGGACCTTTATATGCTAAGACATCTCCTACAGGACAAAGATTTTTTAACCAAGAAGACACAAAATTAGTTCAACAAATAAAAGAAAAAATAAAAATTTTACCAGAATTAGCTATGCCTTTAGATTCAGAATATTTAATTATAGAAACAGATGGAAGTATGACAGGATGGGGAGCTATATTAATATGCAAACCCAATAAATATACTGATAAAAGTAAAGAGAGAATTTGTAGATACAATAGTGGAAATTATAAAGAAAAAGGAAATCTAAGTAGTATAGATGCAGAATTATTAGCCATAAACTATGCATTAGATAGTTTTGAATTATTTATTATATCTAAGAAAGAAATAACTATAAGAACAGACTGTGTAGCCATAGTTTCTTTTGTCAATAAAATGAAAATAGATTAAAAAAGAAGTAGTAGAAGAAGATGGTTAAATTTTATAGATAGAATTACAAATACAGGAATTAATATAGAATTTGAACATATCAAAGGTAGTGATAATAAAGCAGCAGACATATTAAGTAGAATAATAATAGATAGAAATTATTAAATCCGTTTAACATGATTTCTTTATACAGATGACAAGGCCAAGGCCTACAAGACCAGGAATTCCACCTGGGAATTCATTTGCATCAAGACTATTACCACAGACTCCATTTAATTAGAACAAACCAATGTTACAAGACAGACTAAGGTTTGGAAATCAAGAACTAGTAGTTTTCCCTAATAGTAATATTTCTTTTAAAATTTTAACACATATTTCTTTATCTAGAGAAGAGAAATGTATTTTAGACAACTTATGAATTTCTTATAATAAGAATCCAAAAGACCGGAAATATTTTCTTGCATGCATGAATGCATTGTCAGAACATTTTAGTCAGAACAAGCAAAGGTTTAAATTTTATGTTGTTATTAAAGGAAGAACTCCAGGAATTTTCCATTCTTGGATAGAAGTTTTAGATTGTATTAAAAACTTTCTAGACCCTCTTTACAAAGGATTTACAAACTTTCAAGAAGCATTAGAAGTTGCAAGACAACAGATAGGAATAAATTTTTATTTATCTCCTTCTTTAAAAAATTACTCAGACCCTCTATTAGACCTCTCTCCAAGCAAAGACCAGAATATTTTCTACCAACATTGTGAATGTATGCAGAGAAATTACAAAGTTATTAATGAAGCCAATCAGAACCTTTCATTAGAAAGAACCCAACTCCAAAAGAAAGTGGCCCAATTAGAAAAAGAGATTTTGGATTTAAAAGTCCATTATCCAACAGGTACTATGGAGCCCAAGAAGTCCACAGCTAGTCCAGCCCAAACGGTAGTTGGTAAAGACTTATCAAATCCGTTAAAAGTTGTGGACTTACCAAAAGTCCAACAGACTCAGGGGACTGTTGATTCCTCTACTAAAATAGATAATCAGACTCAGCAGACTGATAAATCTGCTACAGAAAAGGGTAAGGAAATCTGGGATCTTTTAAGACAGCCCAGTGAAAAATTTGACTATTTAGTCAAATATAGTCCACCAGAATATTATTCTTCAGAACACTTTTCAAATAATTCAGAACTTTCACAAGTCCAAGAAGTTCAATCCAATAAGGGAAAAGAAAAAATGGTAGTCCAAGATAGTCAATAATGCTTATTTTTTCAAGAATCACAAGACCCTAATCCAGATACTGCCTCTTTAGAAAAGATCTTTGAAAAAATTGAAGAACTCCAAAAACAATCTAAAAAAGATGAAGGAACTTCTTCTAGAAAAAAGAAAAAGATTAAGAAGAAGAAAAATGATGAAGGATTAAAAGAACAAATAAGAGAAGCAGTTAACCAAGCATTTGAGACAATTTTAAAAAAAAGCCATGAAGAAGAAAAAGAAATTGCAGAATGCCCAGATCAGAAAGAAAAAGATGAAGCC